AGACCTGCAGTTGTTTTGTTTCATTTACACGTTTCAAAATAGTGTAATATAAAAGTGAAATTCTTCCATAGACCGTTTGCGTTCAGGACTACAAACCGTCTTTGATAATCTGCTGTTACAGGCGCCGCCCACTTTCACCTTAGTCTCCCTTTGGCGTTACACAACCTCATATTTGAGCTTTGAATTAACCATGAGTGGATATGAATACTTTAGGGCACACGAGGACGTTTCACACACACAGTACAACGTGGAAGTTAAATTTCTGTCAGACAAAAGCAGAAAGGAGAAGCTGGTGAGGGAGTTAACTGAAGTACTGGGATTTTTTGGGGTTTTTTTGGTCTAAAACCGCAGATTAAATTTACGATTTACAAGTGTAATTTTTATAAATACAGTTTTAGTACTCTTTTCTGCATAAATAGTTGTTTTTGCATGAACTCCTGCAGGTGTAATTTTACGAGTGCAGTTTCGATCAGATACGTAATAGTTTTTAATCAACTAATCTATCAGAGGGACGTGTTTTAACTGTAGGATTCTGTTCAAAGTTCACATTTTAAACACATCCAGAATAATAATTAACATAAAGACTAACATATTAACTGACAAGCGATGCATAGGCGTGTAACAGTCTATAAAACCGAGGTACATAATGAACCGTGATTTTTGAGGTCACGGTTTGGTTCATTTTCGGTACAGAATGGGAACAAAATGTAAAACCATTTGCTTGGTTTATTTGTGTGTTTATTAAACCGACAATTTGTTTTAACATTATACATATGGGAAAATAAAATAAATGCAAAGTGCTGCTTGGTAATACTAATAAGTTAAATTAAATATTCTCAAATAAGCATCAAATGCATGAAATATTCTAAAAAATAAAGTCCTTGTAAACAGTAAACAATAGAGATGTAGCAATAACCGAAATACCGTGATATTGTATCGTCAAAATTCTCACAATAATGTCGTGGTTTCTTAAATTTAAGAGTTGTGGTGCAGCAATAGCTAAAAAAAAAAAAAAAGACAGAGGGAACTACATAGACCATGATCCTTTGCTCCATTTCAGTGCAGACTACGTGAAGAAATAACAGTTTTAAACACTTTTAAGTCTTAGTTCTTTGTATTAAGTCTTATCAATGCATTTTAAGAGAAAAAGTAGCATATTAACAGCTTTTTTAGTCACTACTTTGTCCACATTGTCTGCAATAGGTTGGGGCAGGGAGATTCTGTGTCAGTGAAAGGCAAAAGTGAGGACTGGGACACGACAACCGTAGTTTTGCGAGGATTCACATGGTTTGGAGGGATGTAGTAAAGGCGGGGGGGGCAATTGTTGTCAAGGTGGCCGCCCTAACTATAAAGCGCTGCAGGAAGCACTGCCCCAATCACGGACGAGTTCCTTCTTGTATATTAAAGAGCTGAGACTTCTTTGTAGCTGCACATGTAGTGGCGAAATGTAAACACAAATTGCACGGAGTCACTCTTACAAAGCACCGCTCTAAACCGAACTTCCTGTACAGAAACAGTTCGGTATGTATACATGCCTAATAAGTATTCACAAATTTAAGAAAACGCTTAAAACATAACATTTTCACCGTATAGACGTGAGCTATAAGGACGCTTTACACTTGATTGATATAATTATTGTGTTCAGCCGGTGCTGTAGCTGCTCTGTCCTGGATATGTCAATTTGAATCTTTCTGAATATTGTGAGATTGTGCGTCTTTATAATGTACAGGAAGCATACTGAACATTTATTTATAACATGCACAACCGGGGGTGGGAATAGACAAGTATTACTTCTTCCCACTCACTTTTGAAACTTTAGTTTAAAGTAGAGCTGCTCGATTATGGAAAAAATTACCACGATTATTTTAATCAATATTGAACTCATGATTATTCAAACTATTTATTTTTTTAGTTACATGATGCATTTATTCAGCATTTCTCTCTCAAAAACAAGACACTGTTATTGATCATTTACCCAAAAACCAAATGAAAATTAATATAGGCTACAAATATGAACCTTTAGAGCAGTTTTGCGATGTATAAAACAAAAAAAATTAATAAAATATACTTTGAACTTGAAATAAGGCATAGAAAAACAATTGTATCAAAAATAAACTATATGTCCAGCTGTTGTTCCTTATTTATGTAAAAAAAAAATCTCAAAATAAACTTGTTAAATAGTTTGGAGATCGTTTGACACACACATGGAAATCGTGATCAAAATTAAATTAAATGAACAGCCTTAGTTTAAAATCATTTTGTACATGTGGTTCATTTGAAAGATGTATTTTTTTTTTTTTTGTCTTTTTTTTTTCTTCTTATGAGCCTTGAACAGTGCTCGAAATAAATCATACAAACTAATAAATGAATCATTTTTATACAGATCTAAACTACAGGCTTAAGTTTTTATGCATTAGAAAATAGTTTTGTTTGTGGGGGAAATTATGGTACTTAAAAAACTGCAGCCTTTGCGATTTGCTAATTGCGTCTATTCAAACTCAGATACCCACGGACTTGAAACTGGAATGGACTGTAAAATTAACCACCAAAGTGCAGAAATATTGGCCTGCACGCTTGTCTGGGAGATTACGCAGCAAGTTTGTTGTTTTTATCAATTAGAAATCATTGCCCGGCTCCATTTTGTAAACGGAATTTACGGGTTTGAGGAATAATTTGAGCCGCGCCGGTGTCTGTGTGAGCGATGTGTTTATTTACCACAGATACAGAGACTCCTCCTCCTGGTTGGTTTTATAATTAAAGTGAAAAATGTGGCGTTCAGTGAGAGACTCGGGAGCGGAGTCGTGACTGTGAGAACGTAGGAATGCAGACGCAGAATGAGGCATAAACAAAGATAAATACAGAACCGGACTGAAATGGGGGTGTGAGAAAAGGCCCGGACAATGTGAGAAATTCTATAACGAAGACATGTACAGGCACGTTTTAGCTGAACATTCCATCATAGAGATACATGTAGAACGTCCCCAGCGTGATGTCAGTGCGGTTATAAGGGAGACACAACACACATGTCTGCAAAAACAAGGGCTGGGTATCATTCAGAAGTTGCAGATACGATACATAGGCCACGATTTTCACAATATGCATCTTACGGTACGATATTTATTGCGATATTGTGAAGAGGCTGATATAATTGTAGATAAGGCACTTTTTTGCTTTTATAATACCTTGACTTTTGATTTTGGTGCGAGTAATTACCATCATAATCCCAAGAATTCAAGTAAAAAACATATCTCTCCATGTTTTCTGCACTGAAATGAATCATGGAATATGTATTTCTTCATGTTTATTTGCTTTTTCTACTATAAAACAATACATTGTGGTTAGGGAATTTCTCCTGCGGTGCTTCCCCACCCCACATCCCCCGGAGTTATAATATTTCCAGCAGCTCTGAAAACTCTCTCTGATGGTGCGCTTGTTGCACAGATGCACATGTACTCTGGTTGTCGTGAGGATATAGCGTGTGTAATGCGGGAGAAGTAACATTTGGCTTTGGAACAAGTGCCACTGCATCTCTCCAGCTCTCACTGTGGCAGCTCGGGTCAGAGTCCTGCTCCAGGTCTGATACCTGCGGACTTAAAGGTTGTATAGAGGATTTTTTAAGGGAAGTGAAATACAGCGACGGTCCTTTTTCAAATGTTGTGCATGCGTGACACCACCTTCCTCAGTAGAAACACCTCCTCCCGCCTCCTTACTCTAGAAATCACGCTTGTTTACAGCCAGTGTGCGTTCAGAATTACCGTTGAATTTTCCAGTCTAGAAATAATTTAGCGACCGACGCTTCAGATTTTAGACCCTTCGTCTGCTTCAGTCGCACCATCGCTGGAAGGAATCTCCAAGAATCACCTCCGTTTGGCTTTGCTCCTTTTCCCTTTCTCTTTTTCTTTCAGCGAAATCAGAAACGGACTTTCTTTTGCTGCGAAATGGGCGTGGATTCTTGCCCGCCATCTCAACAAATTTTGTGCAAAATGTAAAGAACCTACAGTTTAAAAAAACCTCTAAGAACTGCTGCATAAACTACGTAATCCCTGCGCGCCGGCGAGTCAGTTACACTAGAAACGTAGGGAGTTTGATTGACGACCTAACAGCCAATAGAAAATGAGGCAGCCTCGTTATCCATTGGCTGATGTTTATCTGGCCTCACTACGTCCACAGTTGATAGATTTTCATTCTTTCTTTTTTTTTTTTTTTTTTTTTGGTCATCTTAATTACAAGGCTGCTGCGTCTTTGTAATGGTATTTTAAACTTTCCTTGACAATTTGAAACTAAAAAAAAAATCCTCCATACAACCTTTGAGAGAGAACCCCGAGCAAGGTGTCCTCAAAGCGCGATCGGGCGACGGCCGCACTTAACTCTGTGCGACACAGAGCTCTGCAGTGGTCCTTTCGCCTGCAGTCACCTGTCCTGGGTTAGTCCTGGGTTAGTCCTGGGTTAGTCCTGGGTTAGTCCTGGGTTAGTCCTGGGTTATCACAGCCACGGCCGGTAACCGATGGAATACGGGTTAACTGGTCAGAGTGGGTGTGGGTCTCTAAAAAAAAAAAAATCCATGCAGGACTTTGGGTTGGGCCACGTTGGTCACGTGCGGTGATCATGGATGCCCAACATCCATCACATTGGGCATCTCAGTGATCCATTTTTGCGGTTATCGCGACAGCCCTAATTTAAGCAAAGGAACTTGTGATTCGATATATTGTGAGAGCGCACGATATTATTGTGAGACTTTTTGCAGTATCACATCCCTATTGTCTTTATATACATACATCGTTTCCTTGTGGGGGTTTTTTCTGTATAAATAGTTGTTTTTGCATGAACTTGCAATGAAGTCTCGTGAGCACAGTTTGGGTCAGAAACAGAGATACGTAATAGTTTTGAAAGCTTTTGTCATGCTCTCTTTTTAGTCGACTATTCGTTCTACTACAGCCCTAATGAGATGTGCGTTGAGCTTTGTGTTGTTTATTTTAACCCTGTCCTCCCTGTGTCCTCAGTGTTCACCGTCGAGCAGTACCAGCAGCACCAGGAGCAGCTGGCCCTCATGCAGAGACAGCAGCTGGAGCAGAGCCAACTACAACAACAACAACAACAACAACAAACTACAGCGACGACAGCCCCCCAGCCCACCAAAACACAGGTCTGTACCCCTGTTTATAATGTTAAACTACAGCAACTACAGCCCACCAAAACACAGGTCTGTACCACTGTTTATAATGTTAAACTACAGTCCCCCAGCCCACCAAAACACAGGTCTGTACCACTGTTTATAATGTTAAACTACAGCCCCCACAGCCCACCAAAACACAGGTCTGTACTCCCGATTTTTACAGTTAAAAATTGTGAAAACAGAACTCATAAATTTTTATAAACTCTTTTCTCAACTTTTAGACACCAGATCTTTGCCATTATGGTAATTCTAACTACAAAGGTGTCATTAAGAAGTTGCCGATTTACATTCCTCGATACTTGCACCACGATACGATACATATCTCGATACAGTGCACTTTCGATTCAGTACGATATATTTCAAATCGATTCGATAAGGTTCAATAAAAAAGAAAGTCTAAATCATGGCTGTGATACTAAAAGTCTTTGTTAAACCACATCGTTTGCAAAGTGAATATGAAACACAAACATTTTAATCATCAAAACAGTGAAAATGTCAAATATGTCACATAAACGAGTTTCCTTCCTCAAAACAAGCAACAAAACTGTAGCTGTAACAAAATAATTTAGTAAAATACACCAAAAAATGCTCTTGGCGATATATCGATACAGCAGCTCATGATATCGATACTGTATCATCGCATTTAATGATTCGATATTTTTATATTTACTCTGACAATAATAACGTTCAAATGGAAGCAGACAGCACACAGTGGATTTATTTTAATGATTTATTTTAATTTAATGAACAAATTTAAAGTTATATACGGAAATATGATTCATTCTATTATCATATTGCCCAGTCATAATCTAATATTTTTTGTAATGCTGATAGTTGTTAATAATCAATAAAAAATCTTGGCATTTCTTCTAATAACCATAACTCTAAAATGTGGTATATATCTGTAGCTGTACATGTATAAACCCCCCCTTTCTCTTTGTTTCAGACTAATTCGTCTAAGACCCTGGACCAGGCGTCTGCTCAGTTCGCGGCCTCGGCTCTGGTGATGTCCGAGCAGCTCCGGACCTACAAGTCCAAAGACGAGATCCTGCTCAACACCGGAGTCAACGGAGTGCTCGCCAACGCTGGTCAGTTTATACACGCAACCTGGACTACGCGACAGAACTACAAACATAGACTTTTATTGTATTTTTTTGCATTTTGGGCAGTTTTATTGCACTGAAAATAATAGAAAAACATGTGTCTTTACTATGAGCAAAACCAACTGTGTGTTTGTGTGGAAATTTTGTTTCCTTGACTCTAAACTTCCACAGTATGGCATTAAAAAATCTCAAAGGAGGATGTTTTTAATTTTCTGTTTCCATGGATTCATACTAGTAACATACCACCTTCAGAAAGTTACACACTGTACCTTTAAATTACAAAATAGCTGTAATTGAAAGTACTTTTAATTACCATCTTTTCATAATCTATAGTGGATTTAAAAGCAAATGTCTCATAAATCATATTACTTATTATACTTAGTGAAATTACTGATATTAATTCAAAAATTTTAGTCTTATCTTGCCACTTTCACATAAAAAAAAAAGTAGAAATCCCCCATTAAAAACAATTATGTGTCATGCACTCGCCTCATTTGATAAACAATACAGCGTCTATCTCATTTTCGGCCCCAGATTAAACTAACAGACACGCTGACGCCCCCTTGCATCACAGTGGAATATTACGCCTTCGTTGCATCAACAAAAACCACGTGACTCTTTGTTTAAAAAAAAAAAAAAAAAATGAAAGAAAGAAAACCCGATTGCACCGAGCGGAGGTCTGGTTGCACTAGAGTCTGCTCCAGAGACTCCGGGCGTTTGTCACTTTATCCGTCGATGAAATGATGTAATTTGTACAGGATTTTCACTCATTTGAGACTCTAAACGTGGCTCTAACGCTCCCATTTGTCTGATATCGCACACCAGATCATGTTTCCATGTGCTGCTTCTGCTTCTTTTAATAATAACGACAGTACATCAACTTATAGCGCTTTTTTTGGACTCTCAAAGATGCTTACTTCTGGATAGTTATGCGCTGCTGTAGTCAGTCGCCATGGTTACTGTTAAAATGTTCATTTCTTTTCTCTGCTAAATAAAACATTATCTAAATAGAAAATGTACTGCATGACATTTCTAACTGCCTGACTCATTTTCAAGGATTTATTCATGAATTTATTTAAAAATTTTGCGCAACAAAATTCTGGGAATACAATTTTGCCTCCACAATTTAGACTTTAAAGCTGCTGTATTTGTTTGTTTTGGTTTTTTGGGGTTTTTTTTGCGGTTTGCAGTGGTCCAAACACATTCTGAGAGCCAGTTAACATGAGAACACTTGCGGGAAAAAGCGAGTATTTTATCAGAAGTGCCTTTTGTTTAGACGGAGACGGCGTTTTGGGGGCTTAAAAATGCAAAAATCTGAAACCATCCTCCAGAGTTTGGAAAAGTTGAATACGCTCCTCCGTAACGTTTCCATCTACACTGCCCAAGACGCAAAACTCTGGTCAGATCTGCTCACGCCTACACATTTACGTCACATACAGTACACAGAAACCTGACGTGTATACCAAATCATGTCACCGTATGCACATCGTCTAAACGCGGAATAAAAAGTGAAGACGCGACGCCACTTTTGCGTCTTCTGTTCAGGCCGTCATCATATAAACGTAGCCTCAGCGTGCTAATTATTCACCATGATGAGTTTCTAAAAGCTTTTCACAATTTTCAGAGACCAGAGCGGACTTTTGCCGTTAGAGTAATGCCATCAACTAACATGCTAACTCTGCATCTCCTGGTTCTGGACAATAAAACTGTTTAAAATTTAATAATAAGACTGCGCACATAGACTTATTTTGACCTCGAGAGCTGCTTAAACAAAACTTCTGTACTGGGGCAAGACACATTTTGCTCAAAAACTTTTCTGGTGGAGGTTCTGCTACCTGCTTGTCTCCATGGAGATGTGATTGCTTTGCTTGGAATGTCCATGGCGTGATTTTAAACATGTAAATCTATATCATTTACTCAATACGGGTGTTTCTATTGCTCGAAAACAAAGTACTGTATTTTCCAGACTATAATTCGCACCAGCCAAGAAATGTGTAATGAAGAAAAAAACATAAAAGTCACACCGGAGTATAAGTCGCACTTTTTGGGGGAAATTTATTTATAAAATCAGAGACCAGGAACCGACATTTCTTGCTAAAAGGCAAGTTCTAGTAAAAACAACAGAACAGAGAACAACAGACTGTTAACGTCACATATGAACAGTTCTTCAGATAAACTATAACATAAACAACAGAACGGAACAAGTTTACCAAACTCTCCATCTCACTCCAAATCACTAAATCCATTCAATTCTTCATCCTCGGTGTCACTTCTGAGCAACTCCGTGACCTCCGGAGGTAAACAGAGCGACACTTCCTCTTCTGTGCATCTGTCGTCAGTTCCAGTTAGAATTATTCCGGTCTTTCTGAATCCCGACAGGATGGTTTCAGTGTCACTGAAGTCCAGACCTTGTTGATCCATCCATTGACTTAGAGGAAAGTTTCATGGCGCATCCTCCCAGTTACCGTGAAGCTGTGTTCTCCATCCCCACGTTTCCGTCAGTCCCTCACAAGTTTCTCGCTCACTCCAAACTTTCTTTCTGTTGCTCGATTACTGTTTTCAGCTCAATATTTCACTACTTGCAGCAGGACAGAGGCTCTTTCTGCAGGAGACATGCGCATTAGAGTGAAGTGACAGTGGTGCAGGAGGAACAGGAGCAGCAGATACTGACACACAAGACTAGAGCCTCTCGCAGCTTCAGTGTGAAAATTTTAATGTATAAGTCGGAGGAAACACCCAAACCATGAAAAAAAGTGCGACTTATAGTTTGAAAAATACGGTAATTCCTAATGTAGCGTAGTGCTTTAACCAGCGTGTCTTCGTGGTGATGGATAAGTTTAATCTAGATGGTGGAACATTCTAGACAAAGCAATAACATTTCCATGGAGACGAGCAGACGAAAGCTCCTCCACGAGATATGTTACGCAGTGCACCTTTAAGTCATGACTGATATTGCTCATAAATACTGAAGTCTTGTTTGTTTCTCTCCAGGTGTATTCAAAGGCCTGCACCTCTCCAGCGCCCCCTCTGGCCCCCAGCCCTTCCTGCAGCCCAACCCCTCCAGCCCGTCCCAGCCCCCCTCCGCCCCCCACCCCACGGCGGCGGCGGCCCTGGGTCTCCTCGGCAACGCGGCGCCCTCCACCACTCAGGTCCTGATCGGGAACAACCTGTGTCTGAGCGTCCCCACCTCCCGCCACCTGCCCCGCGCCCTGGCCACCGTGCCCGCCTCCGCCTTAAAGCTCTCCTCCAACGCCAACCTGCCCAGCCTGCCCAGCCTGCCCAAAGTGTCCAGCTCCCAGAGTATGGACATGGCTGCAAGGTGAGCCAGCAGCGGCACATGTAAGGACAAGCACACAAGCTTTATTTTTGTTATTTAATGTTTCATACCCTGTTTTAATCCCACATTTTCTTAAAGCCACAGTGTCACTTTTAGCCAAAAATAGAGTAAAATAAAATCAGGCTTGTATTTATGTTATGAATTTGTTTATTAGTATTTATGTGTTTATTTATTTCAATTTTATTTACTGTTTATTGCTCTAAAAAAACTTACTTGGTCTGAAGAAGGGTCGCTTCCTGCTTGTTTCCATTTTAAATACTGTTTCTTTGGATATAAATCAGTCCCTCTCATGTGACCTTCTTTCACAACACAAACTTTAAAAAAAATTTAAATTCTCAAAGCACCTTAAAGGTAGCTTTGTAAAACTTATCCTAGCCCTGCTCTGGCTCTGCTCTAGCAGCTCTCGCTCTGATTGGCCCAAACCAAGCCCCGGGGTTTCAAAATGGCTGCCCTTTCAAGTCAATGGACTGAGCTCAATGGTGCTTGGTTCCAAATTCGCCTTTAGCCCGGCGAGGTACTTCCAGTGGCTCCAGGCTGACCGAGCATGCGTAGTAGTGCGAACACGCATGGAGCGCAGTCTCGTGTATCGCGTCTTTGACCAGTCAGAGCGAGAGGAGCTAGAGAGGAGCCGGAGCTAATGATAATAAAGTGTTTTTTTAAGTCAACTGAAGGATTTTGAGCAGAGAAAGGTTTTGATCTAAAAATAGGTAAAAGTTGTAGGTGCCCTGTCACCCGAACACGAGCAGTTTGTGATTACATTGTGCACAATAAGAAAAATCCTGTCTCAGTCCAAGGAATTTTTTTTGAAGAAGTACCAGTGAGTGTCACTACAACAACTGAAGGTCCCTACAAGCAGCAACACCCAGTCCAGTTATTTTAATAGATCCATGGTCCAAACACACCACACCGTGCATGTTACAGACATCACACGGGTGGGAGGCACTAGCCCGTATTGAGGAAGTAAATGCGGAAAAGAAAAGCATTTTTGGGCCCACGTGCCCAATGAGCTAGTCTGATTCATCAGCCAGTTTCACTTCATGGAAACGGTCTGACCTCGCAGCATTAGGATTTGTTCGGTCGACGGTAGGCGAGTACTTTTTTAATTTAACCAATCGCTTCTATTTGGTCGTGACGTATGTAATGTCCCAAATCCGGAAGGAAGAAGGGCAATAACGTCTTTCCCCTTGATAAAATTCACCTTAAATCCTCGAAATCCTTGATCTCGGGAATCGTTGCCAACACAACGTCTACATCCATCTTGACCGCTTTGTTTACTATTGTGCTGTTCCACAAAAGGAACACAGACAGACGCTTGAGTTTGACATCATGTCTTCACAGCTCTTCACTGATCGGTCGGTGCGCGGTCGACAACTTCCAGAGTTCTTGCAAACCATCTAGTGTATTCTGATTCCTGATCTAGTCGCTGAAGAGAAATTAAATTGAGAGGAGACACTAGGTGGCGCCAGATTTCAGATTTTACCTTCCAGATTTTATTATAGTTCTATGGGTGGGTAAACTTTTTGACTCGAGGGCCACAAACGGTTCTAAAATTTGACGGAAAGGCCGGACCAGCAGCAGATGGAGTTTTTTTTTTGTAATCCACCTCATAAGAGAAAAAAAAACAACAAAACATTGTGTTATGTGATTGAAATATCTCATAATTGAAAATCATTATAACAAAATACCTGTCTTTCAAGTCCACGGTATTTACTGTTTATTGAAATGACTTTTAAAACTGAAAGTTGTTATTATTATTCAAGTTTGGCAGGCCGGATTAAACAGATTAAAGGGCCGTAGGTTGCGCGCCCCTGGGCTCTATACCCTCATCGCCAGTGCACAGAAATGCACACAAACTGTCTAATTGTCTTCTTTACTGCTTCATTCGTTATATCTCTAACTCCTGTGTCTTTTTTTTCTGTTCCAGGGAAAACCACGAGGAGGAGAAAGCGTCTCTGAACAGTTTATCAGAAAACACAGTGGCCATGGAGGTGACGTAGCATCAGGAGCCCTCACCCGCGCCGCGCTTTTTAATCTCATTTTGTTACTGTTAATGAAAAAAGAGAAAAAATCCAAGTGTAAAGTATGAATATGGCTAAATTAGTATGTGTACATTAACATATTTGTAATAACCCTGTATATATGACTTGAATACGAACTGTCCATTTGTGATGTTTTGCACTTGGGAGTCGAACTAAATGAAAAAAGCCAAGTAGATGGAGGAGAGTCTGGCCGTGTCCGAGTGTCCGCCCGAATGTAGTGAGCTGCGTCTGAATCGCACTAGAACTATCAAAAATATTAAAAGAAAAAATGAAAAACTTATAAATGCTAAAACTATCAGAACTAGATATTTATTGAAGCAAAAAAACAAGAAAAAAATATCACAAAACTGGATATAAATTGTCCTTTCCTGAACAATTTTCATCTAGAACTAGTGTAAGACCAACAAAAGATCAACAAATACAAAAAAAAGCTGCTTAAAATGATCAAAATCAATATCAAGCATAGACTATATATAAATGGACGTAGGAAGTGAGCATGGGCGCGCTTCCGGCTCCATCGGCTCTGGCTCCAGTTCGCTTTGTATTGAAAAAACGTCACCCCTCCTTTCTGTAACCGCTGCTGTCAAGCTCCTCATTTTGGTCTTAAAATGTTCAAATAAACCCGCTCTACATGATCCTGGTGCTTTTATTTCGCCGTTTTGTCCATAAATCAGTTCAAATTTTTTACATGTACTGTATCTCCGCTCCAAATACGCTCCTATTAAAAAAAAAGTCATTTTCTAGGCTTAGAAAAGTCATCGAATTTTGTAAATGCAATGAAAGTTTTGGAAAATTTCAGTGCATCTTTCACTTTCTGTTAAGTTATTACGCTGTTGTTGTTATTTGTTTAAAAGAGACGACAATAAATGCACTGACAGTATTTTGAATGTTAAAAAAAACTATAATCCCAAACCATAAGGTGAGTGGAAAGAGTTAACATTTCATATTTATCCCTGAAAATATGATAAATTCTTAACATGTAGGTGCTGTAAAGTCATGAAAAATTCACTTTAGGACATGAAAAAGTCATGGAAAAGTTTGGAAATTTTGCTAAAAAAGAGTGGAACCCTGAATTAACCCACTCTACTTGATCCTGGTGTTTTTATTTCACAATTTTGTCCATAAATCAGTTCAAATTCCTAATACGTACTGTATCTTCGCTCCAAATATGCCGTTATAACTTCTAACCGGGTTCCCACAGTCATCAAAATCCTGGAAAAGTCATGGAATTTAGTATCTCCTTCACGCAACTACAGCGTTCTTATTGTGATTATTTAGGACCGTATGCAATTTTTGTTTAAAAGAGACGACAATAAATGCACTGACAGTATTTTGAATGTTAAAAAAAACTATAATCCCACATATAAACATTTCATATTTAGCCCTAAAATTATGATCAAATCTACACGTCATGGAAAATTCACTTTAGGTCATGAAAAAGGCATGGTAAAGTTATGAAATTTTGTTAGTGAAAGAGTGGGAACTTTGAATTATCCCGCTCTGTGTGATCCTGGTGCTTTTATTTCACCGTTTTGTCCATAAATCAATTCAAATTCCTAATACGTACTGTATCTCCACTCCAAACTCTCACGGAAATCCTGGAAAAGTCATGAAATTTAGTATTTCTTTCACGACACTACAGATACCAAACCATAAAGTGAGTGGAAAGAGTCAACATTTCATATTTCGCCCTAAAAATCTGATCAGTTCTACCCAAGTAGGACGGAAAATTCACTTTGTCTTGAAAAAAAACATCAAAATCACTGAAATTTTGTCAGTCTAAGAGTAGAAACCCTAAATTAACCCGCTTTATGTGATCCTGGTGTTTTTATTTCGCCATTTTGTCCATAAATCAATTCAAATTCCTGATATGTACTGGATCCCCGCTCTAAACACGCCGCTATCCCACTATCACGGAAATCCTGGAAAAGTTATGGAATTTAGAATCTTTTTACCGAAAATTTACTTTGTCTTGAAAAAAAATCATCTAAAAGTTTTAAAATTTTGTCAGTGATAGAGTGGAAACCTTAAATTAACCCACTCTACGTGATCCTGCTCTTTTTATTTTGCCGTTTTGTCCATAAATTAGTTCGCAAAACAATTCCTAATGCGTGTGTATCTCTGCTCCAAATTCGCTTCTAGGCACGGCAAGTTTATTTGTATTGCGCAATTCGTGCACAAAGTAATTCAAAGTGCTTTACAGAACATTAAAATCACAATTAAAACAAATCAAAACATAAATAATCATCATAAAATTAAAAAGAGAGAGAGTCATTACACATTCAACCCTCGATGAGCTTCGTTTGACTGGAGCCGAACACTATGAGCGACTTTAAACTCGATTAGTCCACTTTTTTATACGGTCTACGCCATCAAATCTGTTCCTCGGTATCGAAATGAAGTTAAAATTATGGTATCGTGACAACACAAGTGTTTTGCGGGTTTATGTCGTGACTGGGGGGGGGGGGGGTTCCGGGTCGGGGCAGACATTCGGACACGGCCTTTAACATCATGTGCATGGTGCGGAGCCTGCTGGTTTTATCTATTTATTGTGCTGTGTTTACAACAACTTCCTTTTGGTTTGTTTTTTTTGTTTTTATTATTTTTTTATTTGTACACTGTACCTTCGTTGGTTCCTGTGCTGTAGTAAATGTTTAGCGAGCTCGGACTCCTGGGTATTTTCGTAAAGTGTGAAGCAGGCCCCGCCCACAACCCCAAGTTTTAATTTTTGAGTCCCTTTTTGTTTTGGTTTTTTTTGGTTTCTCTCTGTGTGTGTGTATAAAATAAAACAAAAAACAAGCTAAAACTATTTAAAAGAGAGACTGGTACTACGAAACAAGAACCTGCCCGGATCAAATGAGTTTCTTTTGGTTAAAGCGGCACTATGCAACATTTTTTTCCACCTTTTTTTAGCACAAAAAAACTTCTCAATCACACGTTTGCTTATTTTATTTTAATAGTTGTCCTTTCTAAATATAATAATCGTTTGAGTGTTGCTTAGTATGAATCCTGCAAGATTAAACGCAATTGAATCAAAAAAATGCAATCAGCAAATCGAAAAAAAAAAAACATTTTGAACTAAAAACAACAAAATACACCGTTTTATTTAGCTTAAAAACTGCTAATCTTGTAGTTTACTTCTTTACAAACCTGTTTTGAAATGTAATTCTTGTCATTTTTTTTGTTTTAGTTCAGATTTCAGTCTTTTTTTCCAATTCTTCTGGTGAACTTTGAAAAAAATCCTGTCGTTAAAACCTAAAGTTGCACTCTGTAACTTTTCTGTAGAGGCCCTCAAACGCTTTTGTTTCCATGGAGATGTTAGTGCGTTAGTTTAATGCCGTACTGTGGACAATTTAAACCAATCTGTCCAACTTTTATCCAACTACGGCTGTTTTTATCGCTCAAAAATATCTTCAAAAAACATGAATTCTTACCGTGGGTGGGCTCGCCTCTCCGCAAACTGACCCGTAATTTGGCTCGCAAGTCTCCGTGGAGATTCTCGAGTTTATGGGCCATACTGCGGAACATTCAGAGCACATCTCCATGGAGACAAGACAACAGGACAAGTCGCACAGTGCACCTTTTAATCGCAAATCTACTCGCCAAAACAATCGCAATTTATTTTTTTTTTTTTCGCAAATCGTTGAGCTCTACTTTGGACTTTCGATAATTGATTTACATTTTTTGGTAATTTGAACATATCGTTTTCAAATCTAATTTAATATTCGGCCTCGTTCACAACTGAATTTCTTGGTAATCGCCGATTTCAGGCTTTAAATCGGCTCGTATTTGAGTTTTTTCACGCTTTAGTATCGTTTTATCTTCAGTATATTTGCGTCTTTTTAGTTTGCGTTTTAACGTTTTAAGCGCTATGAACTCCAAGAACAAAAAAAAAATCAAAAATGAAGACAAAATCTGAACTTTGAAATTTAAAATCTACTTAAAAAAAAAAATAAAAATCACTAAACATATCTCTTGTTTTGTAGTACCAGTCCCCACACACAGAGAAATCCAGAAATGCCCCCCACACAGGGATAAAGTCTCTTCCCAGAAGCCTTTGCAGCTTCCGTTTTTAAGCACTATATTTTTCCGTGTTACGTTTTTGTTTTTGATAACTCAGAGCTGCTTTTGTATTCTTTTAACGGGGTCCTTTTATTTTCATGCAAGTGGTCCCCCCCCCCATCCCCCCCAACAACCTCATATTGTGTATCCCACCGACTTTTTGTAAAACAGAAATCAGTTATTTTTGTATTTTTTATTGTGGTGAATATGATTGTAAGTTTTTTTTTTAAATAATTGTTTTTTTGTTTTTGTTTTGGAAGACTTCATTCTTTAGCTTAGTTTGGAACCACGACGCACGGTTTTCGCTCGGTGCGGCGTTGCGGAGCGTTTACGTTGGCTCAGCGTCGTCAATCATATCAACTTTTCATATCGTAGTTTTTGAAGAGTCTGAACATGCAAAAAAAAAAAAAAAAAAGCTTCGAAAATAGTCACGGTTTGTGTTTTTCTCCATTTTAACCAACCCGCAGTGTGACTATCCCTCTCCATTATATTTTCGCTGGATGGTGCTGATCAAATCTCTTCAAGCCGACGTAAACGAGCGTAAAAACGTCGCCGTACCGAGAAAAACCGTGCTGACGTCGTTGGTTCAAACTCTGCTAAACTATTCATTTCGTGGTGTCATGCATAGGTGAAAAGGGAGGAGCGTGTATGTGTTTCATCATTCCAGTTTTATATCAAAAATACTTCAGAGGGCCGACCGAGGGGGATCGTGGGTAATCTGCGCCCCCCCCTCCTCCGCGCCTCTTTCTGTTCAGTTGTTTTTCTTTGTGAAAAGAATCTCCGGGCGGCTGCGAGGCCATAACGTTTTGGGTGCCTTCCTTTGGGGAAAGAGTCTCTCTCTTCTGTGAAGAGGTCCAGGGCACAGGCCGCGCTACAGCGGAGTGTGTGTACGAGTGTTTGTGTGTGTACGAGTGTTTGTGTGTGTACGAGTGTTTGTGTGTGTACGAGTGTTTGTGTGTGTACGAGTGTTTGTGTGTGTACGAGTGTTTGTGTGTGTACGAGTGTTTGTGTGTGTACGAGTGTTTGTGTGTGTACGAGTGTTTGTGTGTGTACGTGTGTGTGTGATTGTGTACTTACAGAGCATCTCGAAAAAATTTAGAATATCGTGAAAAAGTTCTGTATTTTTTTTGTCTCATTTTAGTCAAACCCGTATGTTCTAGAACAGGGGTGCCCAAACTTTTTTCATCAAGGGCCACATCTGTAAACACAGAAGAAGCAGAGGATGATCGAGGGTCGATCGAGGGCCGCAGACTGATGCTCAGTACAGTGAATAACTGAAATATGTGTTTAACACGTTAGAATGAACCATCAGGTAAATAGTCACATTTTTCTATAGTACTTTTCCACCTTCAAGGCACACAAAGTGCTTTACAACTAGGAACCACTCACCCACTCACACACCAGTGAACACACACACTGTGGGCAAGGTGGGTTAAGTGTCTTGCCCAAGGACACAACGACAGCATTCATCCGTGGGAGCTGGAATCACACCAGCCAACCTGTGGGTCAGTGGATCTGACCGCTCAACCTGTGATGTTTTATGTCGAGAGCTGGAATCAAACCGCCAACCTTCAGATCAGTGGGCGAATGTTCTACCAGCTGAGCTACTGAACTACCCCTTTATTCATGCAAAGATCAACAAAACCACACACTAAATAGTAAATATTTGCTTTATCAAGGTAGACTTTCAAAAACCTTGCAGTAAAAAGTTAATTTTAATTGATGCGAGGTAATTTGAGCCAATTCACCTGGAAGCCTGAGGGGCAAGAAAACTTTGTCTGAGGGCCGCATTTGGCCCACGGGCCGTAGTTTGGACATGCCTGTTCTATAGAGTCATGAAGCTTGAAAGTTTGAAATATCTGGGTTTGATTTTCTCATGATTTTCTGATGGCAAAAAAATCTAGACCTTTTTCATAATCACATTTTTTGAGATGGTCTGTGTGTGTGTTTGTATGATTGTGTACTCGTGTGTGTGATTGTGTACGTGTGTGTGTGTACTGTGTGTGTGTGATTGTGTACGTGTGTGTGTGTGTGTGTGTGTGTGTGTGTGCGTGAGCGCGCGTGTGTTCACCTGGAGGCTGAAAAGACAAAAACATGTGACGACTCTCACTAAAATAAGACAAGAATAAAGCCTAGGGCATTAAATGTGAACCACACACGACTCCAGACTCTTTTGTGCTTGTGTCACTCTGATTACTTTGTTTTTTTGTCTTTTCCAGATAAAAAGTTTTCATTAGAATACCCATTTTAAATTTTTTTGTGGGATTTTTAAAGTCCCAGTTTGTCTAAATAAACCACAGATGCGCTGGAGAAGAATGAACAAACTTGAAAACAATGGAAAAATAATCGTTTTGAAATAAAACCAAACCTTTCTTTTTCTGCACAATAATATTTGTTCAACTTTGGGCTTAAAACGTTCAAAAATCTGCTTTTTATTTAACTGCTAAATAAAAATGTCATGGTTTCAAATTTTGAAACTCTAAAAGGAAAAATGGAACTCGATTACAGTTCAAAAAGCAGGGACCTGGGCTGAACTTTTGTTTTATTGTTTGTTTTTTCCAGATTAAAAAGTTAAAACGGATAAAACGCAACAACAAACAAGCTCAAACTATTTAAAAGAGAGAATTCACTTCTTGAAAAAGTCTTGGTAAAGTTTTGAAATTTTGTCAGTGAAAAAGAGCGGGACCCAGTTATTAAATCTCATCCACATTTTCTCGTCTTCCTCGTGTGAAACTCCAGAGTCCAGACTTTGAACCAGAGTTTTTCTCCCAACGGCAATAAAAGACGGTTCAACACAGACACAAGTGAAGATGAATAACACTTGTAATACCTGTTTTTTGTTTTGTTTTTCTGAGAACTTTTTCACCGTTCAACATGTATTTTCATATCAAGTGTTTATCGCTCTGGCAACAGTTCAAATAATTATTGATCACTGAAGGATTTCTTTAGTTTACAGGACGTACAAGTGGATTTTTCGAAGCTTTTTGCAATGATTTTAGTTGATCTGGTTGAAAAATGAAAAATAAAAATTGTCTCTTTTTCCCAGTTCATCCAAATAAACCACAGATGCATTGAAGAAGAATTAAAAAACGCATTAATTTTGAAATGAAACCAAACTTTTTCTTCTCTGCGTTCTTATATCTGTTGAACTTTGTGCTCAAAAATCTGCTCTTTATTTCACTGCTAAATAAAAATGTCAGTGTGATAACTCTAAAAGTAAAAAAGGAACTAGATCACAGTTCAGACAGCAGGAAGTTGGGCTGAAGTTTCGAAGGTTTTCTATGAACCGACCGCAGGCCACTTCCGCTGAGCGCTCGGACTCGCACATCACGCTTGTTCTTGGAACCGTACAAAAAATAAAATTAAGTTACATATGATTCCAAATTTGAATTGCATATTTGAGGTGTGAAAACTAATTGTAAACTTTTATTGCACTAGTCTAACGATTAAACTCTTACTGTATCACACAATTATGAAATATAGGCTAAATAAAAAATAAAAAAACTAAAGTGTAAAAAATGTTTGCTTTTAATTGTGAATGGGCAGCGTCTTTGAAACTCCTGTCCAAGTAGATCGCTATAAACATGATTCTCAAACATATTACACCAAGAATCACATCTTATAACAGACTTTAACAAAGTAAAATTAACATGTCATTTGTCAAATAATACTAAACTATAAGTTGCACATTTTGGGGAAACTTATTTTATAAAATCAGAGACCAGGAACCAACATTTCATCTTGAAAGTCAAGTTCTAGTAAAAACAGTAAAACAGAGAACAACAGACTGTAAACGTCACATATGAACAGTTCTTCAGATAAATATAACATAAACAACAGAACAAGTCCAAATCACTAAATCCATTCAATTCTTCATCCTCGGTGTCACTTCTGATCAACTCCTGAGCGTCGCTTCCTCTTCTGTGTCGCTGTCGTCAGACTCAGCATCAGTTCCAGTTAGTATTATTCCGGTCTTTCTGAATCCTGACAGGATGGTTTCGGTGTCACTGAAGTCCAGGCTTTGTCCATCCATCCAGTGACTTCTAGGAAAGTTGCATGTCGCACCCTCCCAGTTACCGTGAAGCTGTGTTCTGTATTCCCACTTTCTGTCATTACCATTTTCAACTGAATATTTCACAACTTGCAGCAGGACAGAGGCTCTTTCTGCAGGAGACATGCGCAGTAGAGTGAAGTGACATTGGTACAGGAGGAACAGGAGCAGCAGATACTGACACACAAGACTAGAGCCTCTCGCGTCTGTCAGTGTGAAAATATTAATATATAAGTCGCAGGAAACAACCAAACCATGAAAAAAGTGCGACTTATGGTCTGAAAACTACGGTATACAAGTTTTGGTCTTTGTGTATTAGTCAGGCTGTCACCACCGCTCAGTTTCATTTCTCTCCAGTGATTAGGTCAGGAATCGGAATACACTAGACGGTTTGCAAGAACCCTAGAAGTTGTAGACCGCACACCGACCAATCAGAGAAGAGCTGTGAAGCCACGACGTCAAACTCCAGCGTCTGTCTGTGTCCCTTTTGTGGAACAACACAACAGTAAACAAAGCGTCGAGATGGATGTAGACGAAGACAGACATTCTGTGTTGGCGACGATTCCCGAGATCGAGGATTTAAAGCTGGAACAAAGAGAATGTTTGGTGAATTTTATCAAGGGGAAAGACGTTATCGCTCTTCTTCCTACGGGATTTGGTGCATTACGTACGTCACGACCAAAGCAGCGATTGGTTAAATAAAAAAAGTACCCGCCTACTGTCGACCGAACGAATCCTAACGCTGTGAGGTCAGACGGTTTCTAAGAATCACCTCTACATAAGTCTCACATGAGCTGCTCGTGTCTATACTGGGAGGAAAACTTGTAAAATGTATTTAGTTACAGAAAACTGAATACCTATAAAATGTATTTTGAAACACATCCTTGTTTATAACAAACAGAGACGTTGAGTTCATTATATCACACTCCAGCTCACACTTGGACTGGTCCTATGAGACAATCTTCAATTTTTTGTTTTTAATTACTTTTTGGCAAATAATAACATGTCAGCATTTTGTATTTTTCTCAATTAAAACATTTGTATGAAGTATTTCTATTTAAATTATTATATGACGTATTTACATTTGCCGCCGAATTTTCGTCACCTGACAGCAGAGGTGGGACCAGATTGTCGTCGTTTTGTGAGTCTCGAGTCTTTGACCTCAAGTCCGAGTCAAGTCCCAGGTCAAATACAGGCAAGTCCAAGTCGAGTCTCGAGTCACTGGTCCATAAGTCCAAGTCAAGTCCAAGTCGTCTGCTTTGAGCTTCAAGTCATTTCAAATCTTCAAACCAAAATACAAAATATAGCTTAGATTTTTGCAATTTATATGAATTTTAAACTAAATTGTACTTAAAAATCATGGTATAATTATATATGAGTATTTATATAAAAGTTGTAGAAATGCAAATTGTTCCTTTTTAAGATCTTAGTGTGAATTATTACAGTCAGAATAGAAAGAATTCAGATTTAAAAGACTTATTTTATCATGTAGTTCTCTGTAGTTCCCTCTGTTTTGCTGTATTGTAGTACTATATATTACTGTATAGTACTGTGTATTACTGTAGTACATTTGAGGATACCACATCACAGTACTTCAGTTTGTTACTATGGCGACAGTAACAGAAGTGGGAGGGACATGTTCCAGTTTATTTCTGTAAAATTCAGCACCACATTTATCAACTGTGAAGAGAAGAAGTATTTTCCAAAAACATATTTATTTAGGAGAAGCATCGAGTCTTCTCAAGTCACAGGCCTCAAGTCCGAGTCGAGTCCCAAGTCTCTGTCCTTCAAGTCCAAGTCGAGTCCCAAGTCTCTGTCCTTCAAGTCCAAGTCGAGTCCCAAGTCGGGTCAAGTCCCAAGTCTCTGTCCTTCAAGTCCAAGTCGAGTCCCAAGTCTCTGTCCTTCAAGTCCAAGTCGAGTCCCAAGTCTATGTCCTTCAAGTCCAAGTCGAGTCCCAAGTCTCTGTCCTTCAAGTCCAAGTCGAGTCCCAAGTCGGGTCAAGTCCAAGTCTCTGTCCTTCAAGTCCGAGTCGGTCAAGTCCCAAGTCTCTGTCCTTCAAGTCCAAGTCGAGTCCCAAGTCTCTGATCTTCAAGTCCAAGTCGAGTCCCAAGTCTCTGTCCTTCAAGTCCGAGTCGAGTCCCAAGTCGGGTCAAGTCCCAAGTCTCTGTCCTTCAAGTCCAAGTCGAGTCCCAAGTCTATGTCCTTCAAGTCCAAGTCGAGTCCCAGGTCTCTGTCCTTCAAGTCCAAGTCGAGTCCCAAGTCGGGTCAAGTCCCAAGTCTCTGTCCTTCAAGTCCGAGTCGGGTCAAGTCCCAAGTCTCTGTCCTTCAAGTCCGAGTCAAGTCCCAAGTCTCTGTCCTTCAAGTCCAAGTCGAGTCCCAAGTCGGGTCCCAAGTCTCTGACCTTCAAGTCCAAGTCGAGTCCCAAGTCTATGTCCTTCAAGTCCGAGTCGAGTCCCAAGTCTATGTCCTTCAAGTCCGAGTCAAGTCCCAAGTCTCTGTCCTTCAAGTCCAAGTCGAGTCCCAAGTTGGGTCCCAAGTCTATGTCCTTCAAGTCCAAGTCGAGTCCCAGGTCTCTGTCCTTCAAGTCCTAGTCGAGTCCCAGGTCTCTGTCCTTCAAGTCCAAGTCGAGTCCCAAGTCTCTGTCCTTCAAGTCCAAGTCGAGTCCCAAGTCTCTGTCCTTCAAGTCCAAGTCGGGTCAAGTCCCAAGTCTCTGATCTTCAAGTCCGAGTCGAGTCCCAAGTCTGTCTATTTTATCAAGTCAAGTCTCAAGCCCTAAAAATATTGACTCAAGTCTGACTCGAGTCCAAGTCACGACCTGGACGTCCCAACCTCTGCCTGACAAACTGGAGATCAAACAGTGACTGTCACACGTGCAGATTTCTGTAGTGCAGATTTCTGTAGTGCAGATTAACGACGGCAAAATGTCTCGTGTTAAAGTACGAAAAGTTGACAGAAAGCGGCGAGTTTTCAAAGAACAGCGGACGACCGATTTTTTATTTATTTTTTGTTCAGTTTTAGGACCGTGTTTTCAAAGAATATAATCTGCGTCATGAGCGAAAATGTGGCCCCCAGAGAAAAAAGTTTAGTGACTCCTGAATTA